CCGCTGGTCTAGCCAGTCCTAACTAGGGTTCCTGCAGCCCAGCCCACATACCCGTCTTGTTGACTTTTACATACTGGAGAAGTCAGTACCTGGAAGACCTCCCCGGTCTAGCACAGGGGTCTCCCTCTCTCCTGCCCCCTGGTTGCCCCTCCTCCCTTGTCCCTTCTCCCAGGGCACACGGTGGAATACTCAGGCAGGTGGCATCTGGGAAGGGACATCTCACAGGGCAGGGGGAGAAAAGGCAAGAAACAGGAGTACCTTCCTTACCGCCCAGGCCTGGGCTGGTCCCAGACACTCTCAGTTTGAGCTGCTATTGGGGGCCCATCAGCTCTGACCGCAGCAGCCCCAGAATGGAATCCACTGCATGCCCTGGCCAGGCCAGCCTTACTCAGCCACGGTCCTTCTCCAAGGCAGGCCCTCGGTGCCCCGACATCACTGGGGGCTGGGACCATCCGTGACACCAGGCACACGAAGGCCTTAGGATGTCAGCAGTTCAGGGAGTGTTTGTCTTGTGGAGTGGAATATCTCAGGTCCTGGTGGGAGGGATCTATTTGGAGAGTGAGTTTCCACCTAAGCCAAGCTTTGTCCCCTCGGGAGGTACCCAGGAGACTCTGGACAGAGATGCCAGGGAGATGTCTGTTCTACAGAGTTCATGGGGTCACAAGGTCATGGCTCAAGGAAAGCCATCTTCCGGGGTACTTGACCTCTGGGCTGCAAGTGTAAGTTCTGAACCCTGAACTGGTCCAGCTGGGGCACCGGGTGCACCCAGAGCCTGGGTCAAGTCCCCCAACCCTGCCCACCAACTGACGGCCAACAGTGAATTTACAGTCTAGCCTCTCCTTTAGTGAATAAGTAGATGAGAGGAAAAATTCTGTAAGAGTGATGAAGCCTCATGCTGCCTCCTCTTGGTGAAAGATTTCAGATGGTGATTTCCAAACGGAGAGGTTGTGAGGGTGCTGCCCTGAACCCACCACCAGGGGGCGCAGCTGGGCAAGCGCTGCTGTCTGTCTCTGCAGGGTTTCCAGAAAGTGTTTTTGGGGGCGGGGGGACTTGCTGCATCCCCTTTTGTATTGCTTTCCTTGGAAGCTGCAGGAAAAGACTAGAAATAAACAGCAGTAGCAGCAACAGCATGTGTAGGTTGGTGCCCTGGGACAGCGACCTCTGAAGGCAGCAGCCAGTGGGGTGCCCTGTTATTGACCAGCGTCCCCTAGAGCGCCTCATGCCTCCCTCTCAACACTCAGAAACCCTGTCTACTTGCTATGCACCCCACTTTCTCCACTACAAAATAGGTATGATACTAGGACCTGTCTTAGTAGGTTGTAGAATTAATGACTTAAAACACACAAAATGCTCCAAGCATTTGCCACTGGCCGTCTCATGGCCCCTGGCATTTCATTCTTTCTGTGCGGCCCCTACATCACCTGGGCCCACGGAGCAACATTTTCGTTTTCTTTTTTTGTAAAAATTGTTGACACTGTTACAGATGTCCACCCCCTGCCCCCTTTACCCTCCTCCACTCAGCGCCGCCCACTGTGCAACATTTCCACATCTCGCTGATCCGCCTGCCATCTAGGAGGCATGGTGCTCTGGGCCCTGGGGTGGGGCAGCGCTGAACGTCACTTTTCAAAGGGGTGTAGCTAACTTTGAGGGCACTGCGTGCCGACGAATTCAGAGGCGCTGGATGTCCAGTATCTGTCTCCCCCAGGGGAACGGAGCGCCGAGGGGCCAGGTATCTGCTTCCATCACTGCCGTGCCCCTAGTGTTTAGAACAGTGCCTGGCCCATGGTAGGAGTTCAATAAACATTCATGGATGACAGTGGGGAATATGCTTGTGACGGAATAAAAACTTGTTTTAAAAAAACTGTGGTACTATAGGGTGCCCATTTTGTTAAAAAGTGATATTTATCTATCTCCATATATAGCTCTCTCCATATGTATCTAGAGCAGCGTTTCTCAACCTGTGGGTCGTGACCCCTTTGGAAAGGAAAGGAAAACACATATATAATTACATATTGTTTTTGTGATTAATCACTATGCTTTAATTATGTTCAATTTGTAACAATGAAATTGGGGGTCACCACAACATGAGAAACTGTATTAAAGGGTCGCGGCATTAGGAAGGTTGAGAACCACTGCATTAGGAAGGTTGAGAACTGCTGATCTAGACAGAACACACCTCAGTGAAATATGGGAAAATTCTTACTGATAAACTGAAGGTAATGCAACGATTATTTTTGTTATTTCCCACACGATGCACAAGAAAATGCATATTGGATTTTGGGGAGAAGGATAACACTGGAAAGAATAAGATGGAGACATTGCCATGGGTGTTTGGGGGCCCTGGGAAGGGACACACCCCGGTGTCGCTAGTGTTGCTCCATCAGGTGTGTCTGGGCTGAAGTGGCCGAGGGCTGCCTGGGGCCTGCCCTGTCCCTGCCCCCAGAGGACTATGTTGTTCTCCCTCGTGTGGGGACAACAGGGACAGAGGAGGAAACTGGGTCAGGCCTGGGTCTACAGGGAGCCACCACCGGGGACCACTGGCTAAGCCTGTCGTGATGGAAAATGTCACTGAGTGAGCCACTTGCATCAGCAATCCCCCCCACCCCCCCATCCCTGTAAGCTGATTCTTTGGGAGACCCCGATGAGCGGGAAGTCCAGGAGAAGGACTTATAGGCAGCCTGGGCAATTTGGCTTCACCCCTCCCTAAATTTAAATGGCCATCTGGCTGGCCAACCTCGCCAAGCAGGAGGCGTGGGTTCTGCCCTTGCCCCCTGCCTGGGCCAGGACAGAAGCAAGTCAATGGCCACCAGGGGCCTGCAGGCTGGAGGCTCTGGTTTCCTTCCTACTTTGAAGTAATTGTGGCAGCAACGGCGAATAAACAGCTCTCACTGCTCTGTGGGTGTAGATTCCCCAAGGTCACCTGCTCTCTCTCTGTCTCCTAGGCTCACCTCGCCTCTCAGCACCCCTGGGCCTGGTGTGTGTCTCCGGCGGGAAGGAGGGGTGGGCTGAGCAGGGCTGTGCTCACTCTTCTCAGGTCACACCTGCTCCGTGGGAGCCTCTGCAAGGACAGAGGGGTCTCCACTGGGCAGGTGCACCCAGGACGGAGGCTCGGAACTTTTCCACATATCTCCTCACTCAAGGGTTTCCAGCTTCCAGGGAGACCTGGTTTTCCTGCCCGCCTCTCAGGAGCTTGGCATGTGAGCAGGAGGCATGAGCCACAACCACCGTGCCTGCAAACCAAGGTGCCTCTAGGCCAGCGGTTCTCAACCTGTGGGTCATGATCCCTTTGGGCAGGGGTCCTCAAACTATGGCCCGCGGGCCACATGCAAATACAAATATTGTATTTGTTCCCATTTTGTTTTTTTTACTTCAAAATAAGACATGTGCAGTGTGCATAGGAATTTGTTCATAGTTTTTTTTTTAAACTATAGTCCGGCCCTCCAACGGTCTGAGGGACAGTGAACTGGCCCCCTGTTTAAAAAGTTTGAGGACCCCTGCCTTTGGGGGTTGAAGGACCCTTTCACAGGCGTTGACTAAGACCATCGGAAAACACATATATAATTACATATTGTTTTTGTGATTAATCACTATGCTTTAATTATGTTCAATTTGTAACAATGAAGTTGGGGGTCACCACAACATGAGGAACTGTATTAAAGGGTTGCAGCATTAGAAAAGTTAATTTCTACCTCAATAGCTGGCTGCTAACCAGCCTGGCCCTGGTCCGGGCTTGCGCAG